GGATGGTGCGGAGCACATCCACAAGTCTCAGCCGCGCACGCTGTTCTGAAATTGCATGCGACGCAGCAAAGGTTCACGCAAGATTTGCTCTACCCTGCTAGATGAACTAATCACCCGTACCAAGCCCTTCAATGTAGATTGCAAGCACTATAATGGATATTGACGTCAAGATTGGAGAACGTCTTCTTCCTTCTAATTGTGGCTAGTGCTCGCATTAACTTGTGGCATGCCGGTCCAGAGTTTCCCTACTAATTACACGCGTTGATGGGGCGCATATCCAAGTCCAAGCGATTTAGGTGGCGGCAATCCGGGGCAAGAACCAGTCGGCTCTGAGATCGGGTGCGTCGTTCTCACCTTGGCAGCAGGAGAGTGTCCAAGGTACTCCATCTGCTGGTTATGCTTGATTGTCCTTGAAGGGTTGTGTGTGTGTCCAGAGACACCCAGTTTTGTTTGAAGCAGCTGTCAGTAGAGCCCACGTGTAGCGCTCAGAGCAGAAAGGGTTGCCTCTTGAGGTCCTGAGTCCTGACTTGTGCAGCCAAGCTTCTCTGTGGAAGCCCAGCCTGCCTTTTTAGCTTTCGCAGCCAACGCCGTAACCTCGTCTCCATGTACTTCTTGCATCCGTATGCAGCTTAACTTTAATTTACTATACATTCACATTGGGCAGCATTGTCGGCAGTGGCAGCGAGCTCAACAACGTGATTGTCACTTGCCACTCGCGCAGACTCTGGCTCTGACCTTTTTTTCTTTTTCGGAGCTGAGTGCTCCCTCCCTAGCCAAAATATGTAGAATTTGAAGTCACCATCAAGGCCTGCACAATCAAGCTCCAGTGCTTATTCAACAATCTTCTGCTGGTGCAATCCAGTGACCGGCCCATGGCTGACAAGGGCCGCACCTCCAATGCAGGCACCAGCCGCACTAAGATATGGCATGGAGCGCAGGCTACACTGCGCCTGTGAAGTTTGTTGTCCGCGTGAAGGTTCCTCTGAAAACTTGGCGGCACCATCACCGTTGGATGACCGGGGCAGATCGATGAGCCCAGTTCAGACAAGCACAACGGCCGCGCCGCTGCCTCAGCATGGCGAAAAAAAGGTTGTTCACATTCTCGGATCACCATGCTTGTACTTAAAACTGTCCCTACATGAGTAATTAGCCATCATGATGCAAACAAATAAGCAAACATATTGCTGAGTAGTGATGTTCATATGCATATTCCTGAAGGTCTAGACCTAAAACTTGCTTGTGCGCCTTTCGTTGCGACCAAGGCAAAGCAGATCAGCTTCAGGGGCCATGACGCACAGAGGCCGCGGTCCGACGCGAACAGTAAAGCAGTAGCTGCATTTGTGGTGCTGATAGTTAATGTCAGATTCGTTGATGATATCTAGAATGTCACGGGAATGGCGATGACAATTATGTATATATATATATTATACATGTATATTTCATTTTTTGATGTGATTGTTTTTGCGCGCCTACTAGGCACGGAAAGAAGGAACGCTGCGAGATGTAGCGGCCAAAGCGGTAGGACACCCCTTCCAAAATCGATGCCTTTCAATCCACGACAGTACTACGACTCTGAGTTTTTACTACACGAACCCATAATTCGATCCCCCAACAGCGATGGGATCACCCAAAGTATCCATGGCATCTGATTACACAAGGAGTTTCGACGAACGCTGATGGGGGTGTTTTCTGAAGGCTCCGGGTTCCTGGAGACCCCAAGGCATTTGCATGGAGTACATCAATCTAGGGGGTCATGGTAGTTGGTATTAAGGGCTATATAGCAGCAATTTTGAGAAGCTGCCAAAGGGTCATTTCCCGAACGATCCTTCCCTGGTCCCGAAGAAGGTAGCCCGATGATTTAGGATAAACGCCCATATTTAAAGTCCCATGACATGGAACATCTGAATGCTAGAGTCGCAACCGAATACTGTGACTACGATTGGGGCATGCGTGTGTTGGGATGTTCTTTTGGTAGTACCATGTCCACAGACCGGTGAGCATAGAGAAGCTTGTCTTGTTGCAGGGGCCATCCCCCATGCCTGGGCCAGCGGAGAAGGGCCTGCAGCATCGCCAAGGTGGTCCCACGCTTGAGGCTTAAAGGTGGAACTGCTGATAAATTGGCAACTTGCTGTCGCAGGACGCCTCGGCATGTGGTAGGGTCAGAGCAGGAGCCTGAGGATGCCTAAGGATGCCCGATGGGAAGTGCGCGCTTTTGCATATGTTTGCCATTCTTGTGCCTGAGTTCCTGAACGGTGCTTGGTTTGCGGGAGCCATTTCGGACCCAGCACGACTTTCCCGGCTTGTCTCTCTTTTCCAACATTACAGATCAGGCTCATGGCGAAGTCTGTGCTGGTTGTTGGCCATGGTCCCATCGGGCACTCCTTCTGACCTAATCTAAGCAGTCTAATTACTTGCTGACTTGGGATTGTGCGGGGCACATCCACAAGCTGCCTTTACACGTGCAAACTCACCACAGTCTCAGCACTCCCATGCGTAGAAGCCAGGGAGCTCAGAACAGATTCAAACTTGGAACCTCATCTCGGATTGTTGTGACCCTGATCAGCTCTGATCATGAACCTAGTAAAATCTAGTAAAGGGGGACTAGTATTAAGCAAGCCTTGATTCTAATATTGTTTGCTGGTATGATACTTGTTTTCATTGGTATCATTTGATTAATCCCAAAATGACCCCAATATGCTTTCCATTTTCTTTTCCATTATACCAATATTACCCCAATATACTATAGTAATTACCGTCTTTCTGCTCTTTCAGGGCAACTTTGTATAGGCTGCCCGAGGTCCTTCACGTCACAAGCAGATTCAGAGCAGCACGTGCGGTCTTGCCTGCATTCCTTCGCCCCACTGCACCCTCAACTGATGTTTACATACATATCTATATGAGCTATAGTATAAACTCCTTAAGGGGGGCTATATATTGGATTATATAGGAGAGCATTATAGAGGTCATTAATTAAGGGAGATACTAGGAGTGTAGGTTATAGCTCATATCTATATATATATATACATGTATATGCATGTGTGTATATATATATATACACATGTCAATAAACCGTGATATGCCCGATAGACCTACAGATGCTATATCAGAACTCCTATCCCTTCGAAGTCTGAGGCTGCGATTAGG